AATGTTTTTTTCACTTCAAACACTTAAGGACATTCTGTTCTTATACCTGCTCTTCTATCTTCTGTTATTGTTTCTTCATTTATTCTCTTCCCTCTTTCTCCCTCTCATTAACTCCCCTCCCTCCATCACTGTTTCCATCTATCTCTTCCATCTCCCCATTTGTCTCTCCCTCTGTCTTTCGTACTCACCTTCTCTTCTTTTTTACCCCCTCCTTCTTTTCCATCCGTTTAATGGCTGGCTTATCGGCACTATGCCCTGGGAATTGCTCCAGTGTTGGAATTCTTGACTGTGTGTGTGCTATATGGTGTCCTTGGACAGATAAGATAGTGAAAGAGCAGTTGATTTTGCTGTAGCGTTAGAAGGAAACTCAGGGGAAAACGCATAGTAAAGTCTCTCAATGGGAGTTGGCTCTCCATTTGTTAAATTAAAAGCTAGATATTACCCATCTTTATTGTGAGTGCATTGCGCCATGACCTTGTTGAAGTCAGAGTAGATTGTCCTGCCAAAAATCATGAGCTTTTGTCTGTGTGGACATTTCAGTGTTGCGGAGAATCTTACCAAAGCAACACTTCTAACCACATTTTTAGCAGCATGACAGTGTTTTTTTTAAATTGTGTAGTTTTTTTTCTAGTAACCAGTTACTTTTTCCAACAAGTAGTGGTGTTTTTTAATGCCACATTTTGTGTAGGCAGCTTTACTGTTGAGCGTCCATATTCTCTTAAATTATTGTAGCGAATTTAGCTCACAACAGGAAATATGAATAATTAACCATAGTTATGCTTAATTATTAATATTAGTTAACAACTAGTTATGATTAATTATTAATATTTTAGATCCGCTGTAGATATTTAGCTGACGTGCCCATTTGCGTGTGTCTAGCCTGTTTCAGAGTCTCAGCTCTGTTTATGTTCTGTTTTTTCCTCTGTTTTCCCTGGCAGTAAAATAAAACCTGCATTTGGACCCAAAACCCTTGCTCACACGGTGTGTCTTTCCTGACCGCGCCGTGACACTTCTAACCACATTTTTAGCAGCATGACAGTGTTTTTTTTAAATGGTGTAGTTTTTTTTTCTAGTAACCAGTTACTTTTTCCAACAAGTAGTGGTGTTTTTTAATGCCACATTTTGTGTAGGCAGCTTTACTGTTGAGCGTCCATATTCTCTTAAATTATTATCTCTAGAGTAGAGTTAGAAAATCTGATTAATTCTAGTAAATCAGGTCATTCATTTCAGGCTGCTGTTCATTACTGTTTAAAGGTAGTATTAATTTATCTAATTAAATTTGGTGTTGTAGTTAAGATTCATTCATTCAAAACCACAGAAAAAATGGCTTCATTATAAATATTTTTTTTGCTTTAAAAATGTACTTTAGTAACTTGGATATTGGATAGGGGTAATAACTTATCCTTTAAAGTTTGATGCTGTCAACCTAATTAAGATTGTTTCTTCAATCAGAAGCATAGAAATATATGGCTCTGGTGAAATTGTGAATGTTACCATTGAATAGTTTTATCATTTAAAGTAGATTTTTAAATATGTAACTCTTTTTTTTTAGCTTTAATGTACTGCATAACATATATCCTGAACAGTGAATGACATTTGGGGGATGTAAAATATTAGCACATTACAATATCCTCTACTTATAATCCTCTTTCCACTCCTCCTTACATTAAGTGCAAATGAGCTTATGTATGTTTCATTTCTGCCTTTTCTTTGAAAACCTGACAGAAGTGTTCTGGACTAATGCAATGCGGTCGTTAGTCTAGTCTTCCTTCATGGGGCCATGCGTTTTAATAGGACACCTTGTATCAAAACATTTATTCAACAGCCATAATGACTTGTGTGAATTTGAGACTTCTCATAGGGTATCAGACACAGCATCATAAACAGTTCATAGTCTCACCGAATGTTTAAATGTTGATTGATTTGATGTTTAGAGTGTCTTTTGTTGCTCCCCATGGGTAGCGATATCCTGTTTCATTCACAATACCCAGTGTGCTTCTCTCCATTTCAGACATCGATTATGTCTTCATCTATTCATCTTAAACACAAAGCACATTTGAAATAGGAGAGATAGTCAGAAGACATTTTACAGACTCATACGAATGAGATGAAGCACTTTGAGCTGTATCAATGTCCTATAGCAAAGTCTTAAAGCTGTATAACCTAGTTTTGAGATTTGAACTGAGGCATTATCTTTGCAAATGGTAGTTAATATGATTTGTTGAAAAAAAAATGATGGAGACTTTAATTAACTGATTCAGCTTATATAACTCATTGGCAAACAACTAAGAAGGTTTCACTTTCAAATTTTGGAAAGCCCTTAAGAAAGTAGAAAGTGTCCTGCTTCTACTTTGCACTATATATTTTCTCTTTTGGCCTCTGGCAACAAGAGAATCTACTAGCTTTTCATTTCCCCTTTCCCTCTCTTCGCTGTTCTCTTGCCTTTGCAGCTTCTTGGCTATTATATTTGTGTTGTGTGTGTGTGTTTTACAGGGTCTACATCATCCTCTGTGAGTGGTGAATGCTAGATCTAAATTTAGCTTGAAGAACAGGGTCATTAATACTCTCTGGCCAATCTCCAGGAATCAATCACACCCACCTACAGGGAGAGAGGCTTTTAATGATGCACACAGCACTTTCTTTCATTTGTGAGTCCTCCTGTATACTTCTTACTGTTTGAATGTTTCTTTATGAGATGATCACATAAACAAAAATAGCTATCTGTCTGTCGTATGTGTCTGTCTCTCTATATGTTGGTTTATGTCTATCAGTCCGTCTGTCTGTAGTTCTGTCTTTTGTCTGTCTGTCCATTTATGTCTGTCCATCTGTTGTCATTCTATCTATCATTCTGTCTGTTTGTCGTTTGTTGATTTGTTTCGTCTGTTTGTCTTTTGCATAGACACAAAGAATGTGTGATTTACAGTTGTCGGTCTCTTGGTCAGTTTATTTAAACCACATTGTGTGCATCTTTTTCAGCAGTGTTGAAATGTTATGTGAAAATCATGGCTGTAAAGCGCAAGCTATTATGCTTGATTCAACACATAAAAGCTGCTAAGATATAACATGGAAGGAAGCCAAGATTGTGGAGAAAAAATGTCCCTGTATGCAAATTTCCCAAGACAGGGCTGCTTTCGCTGGAAAAACTGCGAAACAGTAAGTGCGTTAAAATGAATCATCCCCGGTTGCATGTTAGCTGATTACAGTGGTGCTGAGTATAGGATGTTTTAATAGAGCACACTGCATGTCAAGTGTATCTGCAGAGTGGATTGTTTGAGAGCGTATGTGCACTGAAGCATGCTCAAGGTGAAGGCAGTTTGTTGCAGCGCCACAGCCACAGTGCTTGCAACTTTAATTGTTTGGGTCCCCAATAAATCAAACATGCCTCTGGAGTTTATTTATTTAGAAAGCGTATTAGACAAATTAATCATTCCCAAGAGCATGGGAGTGAAAGAGAGAGTATGCTTGTATTAACCACTGTGTGTGTTTCCTCATTACACGATGAGGGTCCAAAGTGGGCAGCTACAGGTGATCGGAGGATGTATGAGGATTCAAGGCGTGTCCTTATCGACATGCACAATTTCCTCCGGTATCTTCCATCCCTGTCACTTCAAAGCACCTGTGATGGATAGACGGGATGAGCCACTGAATGACTGTACTGGTTTCCTCTAGGTGATGAATGAAGGCTGCTCAGTCTGCACTCAGTGCAACTATAAAATGCAGCTAAAAACGTGTCATTCTAGTAATATATTGATGATAAAATCTACGGTTTATATTTATTATTTAAATATGTGATATTAATAATTCACATTTCTCTCATAATACTCTCATACAAACATCAGACATGCATCTGTGCTCATAATCCTCCTGAGTGTGAGACTCCATTACACGTTTTTTTATGCATGCTTGTGTATTGCTGTTTGCATCTTGTCTCTGTGCCAACAATTTGAGCTCTAGTGATCACTCTTTTAATCTGTTTTAATTGTTCTTCCCTCCCTCTTTCCACCACCCTGATTGCATATACGCATCTTGCTCTCTCCTCCCTTCATTTCTCTTTCTCTCTCTCCATGCTGTGGAAATATGAGTGTGTGCAGTTCCCAGTAGAGGTTATCATCAAATTCTATCTCTACAGCACAAACACAGACACACACATTCACACACCACGTGCCAGGCGTTCAGTGAGCCTGCTGAGAAATTACATACTCCTCCCCAACTTTTTGCCATTTTAATTAAAATAACTTTTTTGAAGTCATTAATATTAACTCGATCAGTCTTTTATGAAAGTAGAGGATGCTTGAATATACATGATGCATGCCTTTATGTGATTAAGGTTTTTATTATTAATGATTTATGATGTTAATTGCTCCTTTTTAACAAGTAACAGTAATTGACCACTCCATAAGTGTTTTTTTCCCTAAACTATGGTTTAGAATTCACAATGAAATGATACAAAAAAAGACATGATAACATATTATATAATTAGGCTGTATATTGTTGTTGTTTTTACTATTATATACCTTATTTATATAAATATGTAATATCATACTTTTATCAATATATATTCCATATTTAGCCACAAGTGAGAATATGGTATTAGTACACTTGATTTGTGCTCTAGTAAATCAGGACCTTTTACTTTTTGACAGTCTTTTCAGACTCTTCAGACAGGGAGAGCCTGTCTGTAACATTGGAAAATGTTGTCAAAACAACAATAATGTTTATAAAGTGAGCTGTTATGTTTTATTACCGGCTTTCATAGAGCAGATTTGACAGTGACTGACAGACTTCATTGCTAGCAGCCATGCCAGAGAGATTGGCAGAGGTAATTAACTTGTATGTCCACAGAGGGTGAACAATGACTGACATGCATTTACTGGAACAGTGCCTTTAATTAAAAAAAATTATGATAAAATGCTGAAACAATAAGTGGCATGTTCAGATTTTGACCCAAAAGTGTCCTGATCTTGTTAGCCTTGATTTTCCCAATTCTCTCCTTGACTCAGAACCCTTTCAGATTCGGCCGACCCGGTGTGGAGTGTTACTGTCAGCACGAGAGCGGAGCAGCCATCATCCAGCTACAGTTTCTCATAAATGAAGTGAGTGTTTTATGTTTTTTTCCCCTCTTTCTGGGTCCTGCCCAAACTTATGCCAAGAGCCTATTCCCATGGAGCTCGAAGAGGCAGTTTAAATAATCCAGGATGAAGCCTCAAGAGGCTTAGATGATCCCTTAACCCAGAGCCTTTGCTGCCACAAACCCTCTTGTCCTCCAGAGTGGGCTTGGAGGGATCCTACAGAGGAAGCTGATATTACCATTTCCTCCCCAGAGTGTTGCCCACAGTCAAGACCACAGGGATCTCTTACACTAAGCCGCCTTGTAGATTGTGCTCCTTGAAGTCAAAACGATTAGTTCACTCTACGTTCACGGGAATATTTGGCTATTTATAAAGACTTTTTACCTTGAATTAATTTTAAGTGCATCTTGATTTGTTTTGAATGTTGATCTTTTTTTGACTGAGTGCTTTTCTCTTTGCGTATATTTCATTTTAATCAACACATTTCTATTAATATAAAAAAGATATTAGATGTATAGCAAATTAGCTCAAAAGGGAAATATTTATAAGTAATTACAACTGGTTATAATTAATAATAAATATTTAGATTAGATCTTAGAATTAACTGTAGCAGAATCAATATTATAATTATTTGATCTGTCCATCCACCGAGCAGACAATATAAACATTTATCAATTCAAGGAAAGATAATTTTCCTGGCCAAGGAACAGTAGCTTTCAAGGTTCTTGATGAGTTCTTTAGGAGTGAGCTGGAGGTTTTCACTAGACTTCGCGCTGTGGATCACTAGATCGGCTTTCACCGTGGACAAAGCGGAGTCCAGCCCGGGGTCGGGCTGAACTAGACTAGAAATCAGTGGTTAAGTTGTATTTACAACACTGTTCCAGAACAGTTCAACCCAAATATTCAGATGTGTCCAGCGCATTTTATGGAGGACTGTTTCCTGATCCTGGTAGAGTAGACTACAATGCCGGCTGTTCTGACTCACAGA